GGGCCGAGGGCAGCGCTCACGCTGCAGCCAGGCTGAGGTGTCCGCGGGGCGGGAGCCTCGGCCACGGGGTCGAGGTTGTCCGAAGAGGGGTATGTTGCCGCTGTAGCAGCATGGAAGTGTCTTAGAACAAACTGATGGTCTCCTAGCAGAGACGTAAGGTTCAGGAGCTGACATTTCTATCAGTTGAATACTTTTTGTAAGAAATTCCTTCTTACATTGCACTGATTCTACTCAAAAACCAGCTGTGCAAATAACATCTGTGATGATGAGTGGTGGCAGTTAATCCTTACCTTGAATAAAAAGCTGTTTTGATGTAAGCGTCTGGTCAAAAGGCTCAGACCTCTTACACACGGGTTCCTGAACAATGCATTGCATGAATAACAGTTCCATGTTATTTTACTGGAGAACGTTGGTTTTTTTTTTTTTCAAATAAAGCCTTTCACTCTCTCTGTTACAGTAATGGTAAAAGCAGTTGGCCTGCAACTAAGCTTTGTCCAGATCTTAAATCTGTAAACAAAATGACTGATAAGACGAAAATCCACTTGAGAGTTCTTCCTGGAATGATCTAGGTAATACAGTGTGGAATCAAATTGTTCTAGTTAAAGGGCTTGACTGTCATTTTCCAATTGTAATTCAAATCTCATGCCTACTTGCATTATTTTAACTTGTTTTCATTTTGAGTAGTACTGATACAGACTGTTGGCATGCAGAAGGAACAACTCAGTGTGGTCTACTAAGAAAGCACAATAAAATCTCATGTAGGATTTTGCGTGCTGTTCAGACTGTGGTGGTGCTTCAACGGAGCTAGCTTTTTATCAGCCTTCATTGCTGCACAGCAACTGGAAACTATTGATCTGGAAGTTGGATCCAGAAGACTAGCTTGTGCCAAATGACTGAGCTAAAGAATCTGAAGAGAGCATGTGCAGCAAGACTAGAATTTCTCTTAAATTAGAAGGCTGCTTCTGCTTTTATTCTAAATAGGTTAGAGCTCGATCAGTGTCTGAACTGAATTCCACATATTGCAAGTTTGAGTCTTTCTTAGTCTTGCCTTCAGTTTGTTGTTACTTGCAGCTGAACGGGTGCTTTTTAGAAAAACTTTTCCAGGTGTAAGACTTAATCTGAAGGACTTGTCCCGGGTCTTGAGGTGTTTTGCACTTCTGTATGGTTTGGGTTTTACCTTGAAAATACTGCTAAGGAAATAGACTTTGTTTTTCATCTCTTCTTAGCAGTAGAGCTGAGGCTTATTATGTGGAAAGCGAGTTGCTGGTTCTGGGTATTTTGGTACCCAGAGTGAAGCAGACTGGGAGAGTGGTGCACTGTGAGAGCTGGGGAAGTGCAAGAATATAACAAGGCTGAAGGAGTTTAGGTGGCAGAAGCTAGGTGAAGACAAAAGCATATCTTCTTCCATTATGCTTCACAGCACTATTAGCTTGGCATTTCTTAATGGCTTCTTGTGTATCCAGCAGTAAAAAGAAGGCTGTCCAGCATATTTCAGACTGGTGTGGTTTTTGGCAAGGCTAGAAGAGCCAGGCTACCGTGGACAGATTGAGGGGGAGTTCTCTTTAAATGGCAAAACCAAAGCAAAGTCAACAGCTTTACGAACGGATTCTTTTGTAACTATACTATCTCAGACATGCTGCCTCTGCATAACCCTCACCTTGTTAATTGGGGTAGAACTGCTGGTGATTTGGCAGCATGCAGCCAAAAGGCCCCAAGTTGATTTTAAAAACAACTTGTATCAAGGGAAAATTTGCTCCAAGAAATCCATGCACTATTCAGTATAACAGGTGAAACAGCGTAGACCACTGAAGGAGCAAGCAGATACAGCCTGCTTGGAGGCTGGTCTGTATTTCACACTACAGAATAGTACAAAGAAGCTGTCTCCGCACAGCTCTTTCTTAACAGTGTACTTGAGACTGGCTGACCGAATCGAAGGTGGCAAGGGAAGATTCCTCTGTCCAGCTCAATCAGTGTGCACCAGCAGATTGTCGCTGTTCTAGAGTTCCAGAATATATTGTTAATGCATTTTTCTTAAAATGGGATACATGACTAAAATCCAAATTAATTTTTTTTCTCAGAATATGCCAGAAAGCAAATTTTTTCACATCTCTTAGTAAATTAGTATGTCATCTCAAACATTAATTGAGCTGTACTGTGAAAAGTGCCCATAAGAAAATGGTTCATTTAAATATGTTGCCTAGCGCTTAAAAAAAATCTGCCAAACCTGGAGGTTGTGCAATGTGAGTTAAATCACCAAACTAAGGTTCAAGAATATGAAGATTCACATAGCTGCCATTCAGTACTTTTTTTTGACCCTGAGGATAGTTTAATGTCAAATCTAACCTACTACAACTGCTTGCTGCCACAGAAAGGTGTTTCTGATTTTTTTTTTTTTTTCTTCTCCTGTCCTCCCTGCCCTAACAGCTCCATCACTAGTGTATTCTACAAGCTGAATCAAGTCAGTGATAAATGTATCTGATGAAACTGTTCTTCCCTTTCTTTGGTGGCTTAACTTTCTCTTGGATCAGGTGTTACAGTAGCACACAAGCAGTGTGGTCAATTAATTGATCCAATGGCAAAAGCTGAGACTACTCCATAGACTGCCACTAAATTACACCAAATTAGGTATAATGTAAAATAGAACACTGGTTTCTCACAAGTCGGGTGTTGGGGACAACATCACAGGGGAGTGTTAAGATAGTGCTAGCACCTGAATGTGGTGGTGAACTAAGTCAGTCTCCTGTAGTCACAGTGGGTAATGTGAGACATCTCTAAAGTAACTGCCACTGTTAGCTTGTGTACTATGGCCTGGATTTTAGTGAAGCGCTTTATAGACAAATGGGTCATGCTCTGAGCGTAGCTGTCAACTAACACTTGCTGAAATCATGCTTTAAAGTGTGTTACAATGTTAGGTGCAGGTGGAAGTCCAGTAGTGGAGACCGGGATACAAATTTTAAGGCTGTAAGTGATTAAAAAGATTAAAAAAAAGATTAAAAAAAGATTAAAAAGATTAAAAAGAACTACAAGCAAGTCGAAGGATGCAATGTAGCCTTGAGATCAGGAAGAGGATGAATACTGCAGACTGCAGTAGGCTGAACAATGATTGGTGAATTAAACTACTAAAGTAAGATGGGGCTGCCAGGCGGGTGTTCTGATGAAGAACATAATTTCCTGTGACAAGGGAGTCTCAGGGGAGTTTTCCCTGCTTCTACGTTGTCAGTCATCTTGATGCTTTGAAAGGTGTTACTGTCCTGCGAGTGGCAAAAGAGCAGAATGTGTATGCTTAAATCTCCCAATAAACTGTGCAAGACATGAGTGCAAACCCATCTTCACCAGTAGTCTTAATGATCACTGATTGGTGTACTGGGGTAACTGAGGGTCATGAAACTGCTTCATCTTCTATAGCTGGATTTAACAAGTGTGATAGTGCCCAAAGGGAGAAAGAAGAAATCTGTGCTTCATAGTTCAAAACTGAATTCAAACAGATTTCTGAAAGCTTTATAAAGCTGCGTTTTTCCTCAAGGATTATTCTTCACACTCTATCCTTATCTTAAGAGCAACTAGATAAGACATTTTCTGATCCCAGTTAACCTTCTGGCCAGTAGCTGCTTTCTTACCAACCTTCTAGTACAGGTAGTGACTGTATCTGATGTACTGGGATTACACGCTTAATGCCAGTTAAGGGAGGAAGTTACTTTCAAGTTAAAACATCTTACCCCTTATCAAAGATGCTTGATTTAATATTCAGGCAGAACTGCAGTGAAGACAGGTTTGTAAAGGAGAGAATAGACATCTTTAGGATGTACTAATAAATGCAGATATTTTCATTCCTTCCTCCAGTAAGTTCCGTGAACTTTTGAAGATTAATTAGGAGGCAGAAACTTCAGAAAAGTTTCTAACTACACCTGTTTAGGAGTATTAAACAATTTTTGTTATTGATGTTTTGTCTAGTGATTAGAGGTTGGATTTGACTTAAAGAACAAATGTTGTTGGCTCTCAGGTTTGTTGCTGTTAGGATCTGTGAGGATCTGTGCCTAGAAAAAGGTAAATAACAAATAATGCTGTACAGTGCCACCATTTTTTTACTTATCTTGAATGTAGAATGCCAAATGCTGCCTTAACAACCAAACTATTTTACTTGGGTTTTTTTCCAGTTGTTTCATAGTTTCCCCCTGGAGTTCTGCAGTCATGTTTAAAGTTGGCTCACAAGCATAAACATACGGCTAAAGAACTTGTTATCTTGTTTAGATGAGGCTGCAGTGAAATGCAACACTATACGAATATAAGTCTGTAGAAAGTACTATTGGATACTTAGTGCCTTTGTTCTGTATTCTCTTCAACACAGCTGGTGACAATGGCTGAAAATGGAGATGGTGAAAACATGTCTATTTTGGAAACCAAAATCTGTCAGCAAATTGAGGTAAGTTCAATTTACAGCTTGGGATTTGGACCGACATGTAGTTTTGGAGACATTCATTGGTAGGGACTTGGCTAACAGGAAGTTAACTTTATAGGAAGTTAGACTTGAATCTTCAGCTCTTTAAAAAATGTCCGTCACAGGTCTATGACAGGTATTTAATACTTTAAGATAATTCATAATTGTAGTCTAGAGTTCCCTGTAAGACCACCACTTAAAAACACAAAAGGTTTAACTTGCTAGCATTTTAGGTGCTATAGCAAGTGAATGTATCATTAAACAATTTATTACTATGTTCACTGGGATTATTCTATCTGTGCAAATAGGAAGATGCATTTTAATTCTATGTCTTAATGTTTTTGGGGAAAAAAATCCTACTCGGGAATCTGTGCTGGTCGAAATATTAGCACGTTGCATAACTTGTTATTATGATTTACTGCTTTGTAATTTATTGCTACAAATTATAACTAAACTTATGTGCCTACTTTAGATTAACTATTTCTCACTATAGAGGCTTAGAGGGTTACCCTACAGTGGAAAACTGAGCACATCACTTAAAATGACATCTAGAACAAAACTGTTTTCCTGAAGGACAAAAACAGGTGAATCCCCATTAGCATATGGAGCTTAGTCATTATTTATTGGGGGGGGACGGGGGACCAAACCAAACCAAAAAAAACCCCAAACAAAACAAACCCAAAACCAGAGATTTGAGGAAAAATAGCTGAGAAGGCTAGACTTCTGGTAATGTGAGTTTGAGGTATACTAGAGGGAGAGGTATTGTTGTAAAACTTGCACTGACTTTTTAAAGCACAATGATACTGGTGGAAACATTCCAACTTATCCTAGGCTTCAAGTATTTGACCCTAGTTAGATGACTGATAATAAGGAAAGAATCTGATTAACTTGTGTATCTTGTACTGAATTGTCTTCCCATGTTGGACATGATCAAAATGAGAACATAGTAAATTAAAGTAAAAACTTTTTTTTATCTTGCAGTATTGTCTTGAATGAGACCTAGAAACTCTAGTCTATGTATATGATTTCTCAGTGTGGCAAATACAATATTCTTGCTTATACATTCCTTAAATAAGGACTAAAACCTGAATCTGTTGGTGACAAATTTGACTTCTGACTGCAGAGCTTGATTAGGTTGATGAACAATTATGTTAACAGAATAAGCTTTACGCCTTTCCTAAACAAAACTGCAGTCTACCTTTGCCTCATTAGTCCCACTGGATGAAGAACTGGGGTTTTTTACAGCTAACGTGTTGCAGCTAACTTTTGGAAAAGTATCACGTTAAAGCAGGAAGTAATAATTTCAGAATTTCTAATTGGTCAGATTAATGGATTTCAGTATGTCTCAATCCACTGCAGTAAGTTGTCAGATGAAAACAAGCTTTTAAGACTGAATATTCAAAGACAAATCTCTCTCCACCTCCCTCCCCCTTCTTTTTTGCAGTACTATTTTGGCAATCACAATCTACCAAGAGACAAGTTCCTAAAGGAACAGATCAAACTAGATGATGGCTGGGTGCCTTTAGAAGTAATGATCAAATTCAACAGGTAAACCAAAGTACAACTAATCTGGCTGGAAGGGTAACTTTGAGATATTTATCTCTATTTGGGGCCAAATGTCCCTGGTCTACATGTACAACTCCTATTGCTGTTTTAACATTTGGCTTCAGCTTTGCCTGTATATTTGTAATAACCTGTGTCTGCTTACTCAATAGATTAAGTCGCCTTTCAAAAGATTTTAGTGTTATTGTAGAAGCACTAAGAAAATCCAAGACTGGTTTAATGGAAATAAATGAAGACAAAACTAAAATCAGAAGATCTCCAAACAAACCCCTTCCTGAATTAAATGACCAGTATAAGGCTGCAATTAAAAACAGATCTGTTTATGTTGTAAGTAAACTTCTTCCTTTGCTCTGTGCTGTTCTGCATGACCTCGACTGAAAACCATCTAAGTAAAGCTTGAATTAACTTATACTAATAGGTTATTATTTCTCACTGAGTGTCAGTTTGTTGCATATAATTGAAGCTTGTTGCTATCTTGCAGAAAGGCTTTCCACTAGATGCAACTCTTGATGATATCAAAGAATGGCTTGATGATAAAGGTCCAGTTGAAAACATTCAAATGAGGAGAACATTGCAGAGGACATTTAAGGTAGCTCTTGCGATGAACAGTTAGACCTGGGGCAGGGATCCCCCCTGGACAACATTCTGTTCAATTACGCTAACACTGAATGTCTCTTACCATTTAACAGGGCTCAATATTTGCAGTCTTTGATAGTGTTGAATCTGCTAAGAAGTTCACAGAGATCCCAAACCAAAAGTACAAAGACACAGAGCTGATAGTACTTTTCAAGTAAGTCCACTTAACTGATGTATGAACTAATAAATGGTGAAGGGTGGGTTTAGACAAGAACTTGGCTTGACCTGAGAAGTGTAAGTTTCTACACTCTTGTACAGGCATTGATAGCTGTACCTTCTGGAAACTAGCATCTCAACTCCAAAAGATAATCTCAACTGTTTCTTGGCTACTGCTGTCTTATAAAGTAATTATAATGGAATACTTTAAGTGGTATTAACTTAGCTTATATTCTGTTGAAGGGAAGAGTATTGTACAAAGAAGAATGAAGAAAGGAGACAAAACAAAGTAGAAGCTAAAGCAAGAGCTAAACAGTAAGTCATTATCAATTGAAGTACCTGGTTTTGCTCACCTGACCACACTTGAACCAACTCTTAACTAATTTAACTTTTCTACAGGGAAAAAGAAGAAAAACAGAAACAAGCAGCAGATGCTGAAATGGTATGGGTTTCTTAAATCTCTATACCTGAAAACTATGCAATGCTTGCTTTTCTGTGGATTGAAAATCCATACATAACAAACATGCTCCTGCAGCTACGTTTTGTAAAGCTAACGTACGATATTCAGAGTTTGAAATTCTATAATATAGAGCATTTTCTAGAAAGTCCCTTCAGCTTCTCCAACTAACCTACAGTAGGACTTTGTTTTGTCATGGTATTTAATCTTATTTTCGAGAGACTAATTTTGTTTAAAGGGTCATATCCTGAATTTAAATTATTAGGCATGTTTACCTGTTCAGAATTGATCCTAAATGCACCATTGAGATGATCTCTTCTGTGGTATTTAAAAGATCCAGTAAGGATTTAATCAGTATTATATAGATTTTCAACCTGAGATGTGAGCCTTCAGAAAACTGTTTTGTAGAGTTCAAAGAGTGTAACTCTCTTACAAGAAAGGAGTCCTAAGTTCCACATAAACGTATCATAGTAAGCAAAGAAAATTTAAAGGAAAAAAAAGAAAGGTGGGGGGAAACACCATGCAAGACTTGGACATCAGCATAAATAAGCTATGTAGCAAGAATGCTTGGGTTACTGATGGTGCTAAGGGGGGTGACTTCAATTGCTTATTTATCACTATCATGTTTTAATAGGATTGAAGGGGAAAAGAATATTCAAGCTTGACTCTTCTACAAAAATGTGGGTTTTTTTATTTCATTTAGAAGTCTCTGGAAGAAAAGACAGGATGTCTTTTGAAATTTTCTGGTGATCTAGATGATCAAACATGCAGAGAAGACCTCCATGAGGTATTTTCTGATCACGGAGAAATCAAATGGATACACTTTGTCAGAGGTGCGAAGGAGGTCAGTAGAATCTTAGACAAGGAGTTAAGATCTCTGTATTAAACTGAATGATTAAATGCTTGTTCTCTTATGTAATAAAATAAATTAATTATTTGACTTGTGGAATTGCAGAATATTTAGAGAATTAAATTATTCCCTTAAATTCTTTCAAAAGAACAGATAAAGGTTCCAGCCTTCTCAGTTGATAAGGTCAAAACTGAGACTGAGAATGTTTGTTAGGACAGTCTAAGGGTTTTGCTTCAGTCTAGACATTTTACATCATGCAAGAGTAATGAACTTGCTGAGGGTACACAGTGGGATATGTTGTTCATCATTCTAGCTGAATGTTTTCACAGTAAGATTGAAATGCAAATGCCACTCTCTTTTTAAGGGAATTATCCTATTTAAGGATGTTGCAAAAGAAGCTCTGGAAAAAGCCAAAGAAGCACATAATGGAAACTTACAGCTTCGGAACAAGGATGTTACATGGGAAGTGCTAGAAGGAGATGCAGAGAAAGATGCTCTGAAAAAAATATTGGAAGATCAGCAAGAATTGCTGAAACAGAAAACAAAAGGTCCTCCTTTTATTGATTTAAGCATTTATAATGTCCTCGAAGTGGCATTGTGTGAAAGTAACTGTAAATAGTGAATACATACTAAACACTGACTAAATGTAAAGCATTCTTTTGAGCTTGCCAGTTAAAAGACAAATGATACAAAGTTCCTGACATCTTATATCCCCACAGGGCGCAAAATTAAAGGAAAAGGAAGAGGGGGGAAGATACCTCAAGGTGCACACAAAGGAAAAGTACAGTTTCAGGGCAAAAAAATAAAGTTTGAGAATGAAGAAGGAGGTGGTGAAGATGATACTAAAATAGGTATGTCATTCTGTGCACTGGATGCAGCTTCTTTAGTACATGGAGCTACTTTCTGGAAAAGTACTCATGTTTCTTACAAGTGTTTCAGATTTGGCCCTACATTGTAGTATTTCTGTCCTCTTGTCAGTATCAGTGAAGTAATTTTAAGAGTCTTGTGCTTGATTCCTTCCAGAACTGTCCAAAAAGCATATTAAAATAATTACTAGATAGCTGAGGCTGTACTGCAGGGGTGTTCAAAGCATTCTGCATTGAAAGATGGTGGTTGTCAGCAACATTACACAACTGTACAGACCCAGTCTCCTGAATGGTGATTGATTTTTTTTTGTTGGTTTTTTCCTTGAGGGTATGAGAAGACTAATAGTTCTGCATATTGCTATTTAGCTTGGAGAAGATGAAGAGCTAAGCTTCTGCTCATTAGATATGGCACCTGCTTAAACAAAACCCAGTGAAACCTACTCCTGTTAGATTGTATTCCTTCATTTCATACCTGCCCTCCTGCTGTGAAGTTACACAGGGAAGAAGCTCTTCAAAGTTGGTGGTTTAGAACATCTCTAAAAGCTTTAAGTCACAGTAATAAGTAAACCCTCTAGCACAGCGGTGGCTGTGGATAAACTAGAACTCATCCTTGAATGCACATGATAGGAAGGGTTTGTTTTTTCAGAAGATTTCAGGTAATACTGAAATGCTTTCCTTTACCATAAATGACTACATATTCAATCTTGCAGAACCAGCAAGTCCCAAGAAGAGACCACTAGAGGAAATGGAAAAAGAAGAACCTGCACCAAAACAACTGAAAACAGAAAACGGAGATGGAGATCAGTAATACTAAAATTAAAAAGAAAAAATTGGTTTTATTGTTCCATTTTCAATAGGTTTTTAAGACATGCCTCAGTTCAGGAGTTTCTTGGCAGAAAATCTAATGAAATCCACTTCAATGTCAACCTATAATGAGAGGAAAGCTTCATTTTGTTGGGTTACAGCTTTTTTTTTGTTGTTTAAGAAGCATGTTTACTCTTAACATACCACCCTGGAAAACTCTTTTATATAGTTTTGTTTATACTGTGAGATCCTCTCAACTTCTCTGGCACCTCATTCAAATGTAAAAGGTTCTGGACTTTGTAATCTTGCGGTTATGTTAAATAGCAGCTGCCAATAAATTCAGAACTTAAAACTGCTTACTACTGAAGCCTGGATGTTAACGTAGTATAAAGCTATAACTGTGAAGTAGCAAAGCTGAAGGACAGACTTCCATCATTTAAGTTCAAGTCACTAAGAGAACAGGTACAGCTGAATAAAACTTCTAGTCTTTGCTACTGAACATACCTAACAGTCTTCAAATTGTGTTCAGTCTACTCCAGGATTCTCTCTACTTTGCCTGTGGTAATGGGATAGAGGTCTTTTAGGCCAGCATTCAGCACCCAGGAACTTGCTTGTGGGCTTAAGCTTCCATACTCTGCATCCTGACTAATCTTCTGTTGTGGGATGAAGTGCACAGCTTCCTCCTGCCCCCTCTAAGATGGTTCTATGAGGGATTTCACTGGCTGTAGCTATTTGCAGTACAGAGCGTAGAACACTGAAGTAATGCTACAGCTGTAAAATCCTAGTTACTCTGGCCTTCATTACTTAATTCAGTCTAAGCTCCTGTTGCAGATAGGATCAAGCAAATAACTACTGAAAGTTGAGTCAAGGAGGCTACCCTTAGGTTTTTCACATCTAGTTGCAGTGCTGGCTTTAATCTTTGTGTATAGCTTTGACTTGCATCACAATTGTTCTTTTCCCTGTTCAACTACAAAATGTAGTTACAGCAATGGAACTTGATGCCATCATAGTGAACTTCTCTCAAGTGCTGTGAGCATTCCTCATCCAGTATATACGGCCCTAAAACTTAAATTTTCTTAAGTAGAATTTATTTACCTGCCTAGTACAAGACAGAGCATTTTCTCAATTATGTTATACTTACTGATTTCTTCTTATGGAACTTGTATGATGCTGGTAGGTCATATCTAAGTTCTGTGAACAGTACAAAGAATACTTGTTACACTAGAACGATTATTAGTCAATTGACTTACAGCCTACACCCATGTTCTTCTATTTCTTCTATTGCCTACCTCTTGCCCCCTGACTAGGTAACTGTTTTGACCTCTGGACTAGATTATGACTTAACATTTAAGCCAACCACATCAGACAGTAAGTGGATGGCTGAAATGGAGAAATGCAGTTGTGTTTCAAGCACGTGTGCAACTTCCACGTCTCAAGTTGTATGACTGTATAAAGCATCCAGCTGGTGATATTTAAGAATCAGGAAGATACTTGAACAACTGTCAGAAAAATATCTAGGTGACTATAAGGACAGGATGCTTTTCTGTGTGACAACTGACCTCCACTTTGCTTTTGTTATTCAGCAACAATCTCCTTTTGAAGTAGGAAGGTAGGTAACTTGTGCTTGAAGGCAAAATCTAGTCCAGAAAGAAATCCAACTCTAATTTTGCACAGAAAATGTATTCCTCAGAGCTTTATTAAGTGCCTGCTTGTGTTCTAGCCAGGTAGCAAGGTATATTAAAAAAAAAAAAAAAGGGGCTGCTTAAAAAAAAGTGTGTCATTTTCAGTGTTAAGTCACATTTAAATTTACCTCAGGCTGTTAAGACTGGCTAGTAGTGTTACAGATACTAGCCCCCAACGAAATGATGGTTTTTTTTCTTTAACAACAAATTAATCTTACCTGCTACGACTTCCATCTTCACTTCCCATTCATCTGCTTTCTTTTGAATGTGCTACAATATTAAATAGATACAGGTGCATTTAAAAGCTCATTTCTACACTGTCTTATAAACATCTACACCCCTGTACTTATTTAAGAAGTCTCCTGTGCTTTTGCTTTTCAAGCTGAAACATTAGATCACATACTTATCTTGATGTATGTGAGATCAGTTGACATGATTAGTATTTACCCAAAACAAGTTTCATACCCCATAAAGGTGTGAACAAATCAGTGAAGCTATAGATGACATCATTAAATGCCAGCTATTCCATTGCCTGATTAATGCTTGCCCTACTAAAATGAAGAACTTACCTGCCGTGTTGAAGTTTTGTGAAGGGAATATACAGCTGTTTTTGCCATTTGTAAAGCAGTTTTCAGAAAAATCATATCCATTCCTAAAAGAATGATGAAATTACTAAAACTGTTAAATGCAAGCTTAAACTAGAGGATGTAAAAATAATCTTCATGCTTCAGTTTTTCTGGAGTAATAGCTATTTGAGAAACAGCACTGAATACATTAAGGTACAGAAAGTATTTCTAAAACTTACCCCATTGCTTTTAGTAAAAGAGAAAAATGATAGGGATATGAAATAGTTAGTTTATTTGAAATCCAGCGATTGTTAGTTACAATGATGAAACTGTTAATCTGTACTTAGGAAACTGATTCCAGATCAACAAAACTCTAGGTAATTACAATAGGTAATTGTAATAAAGAAGGGAGATGTTTCATTAGAAGTGTTTTCCTTGCTATTTCATTCCTAATAATTTCTAACTGACTTTCAGGATTACCAACCTTTGTTATGCTTGGTACCAAACGGAGGGTTCATAATAACTGTGTCAAAAGTCTCTGACATGTTGTCAGATAAAGAACAGACATCACACTGAACGATGTTGACGTTCGTGAGCTCAAAGTCTTCAATATTGCTATTAAATATTTCCAGTGCATCTGCATCTATGTCAAACCCCACACACAATCTATGAAAAAAAAAGTGCCACATATTAGTCTCCTGCAAACTAAAATGGTGTTTAAATTCTATAGTAAAGTTTTGAAAGGGAACTGTGTACACAACTTGTTTTATCTAGGAAATGTAACAAGCATACACTATAAATTCAGTGCTGGTAAAGATGCGAGTAGCGCTGTTGCCCTTTCTCAAATATCTTTTTAAAGTCTGTGAAGGAAGTTTCATGTGTTCCTTTAGTGCTTCAGGGGAAAGCAAACATTATGACTTCCAAATTCATGGCAACTGTCCATCTCTTCCGCTATTTGAATGGTTATTGACTGTCTAAACATATTAAATAGCCTCATTATGTACCAGATTAGATACCTAAAATTAGTTTAGTTAAGCATTGCTATGTTCTAATCTTATTTTCTACTCCTCTATGCCAGAAAAAAATACAACCAGAACTTAGTATTACTTACCCTGCTCCTAACATTGCACTTCCAATGCTGAGCATGCCACAACCACATCCTAAATCTGCAATTGTTTTGTTTTCAATATCGTCAAAAGTATTGTGAATTGTATAAAGCATACATGCTGGGGGGGGAAAAAAACCCACAGGTAAATAATATCAAATGTGCATCTGATTAATCAAGAAAAGCTACTTCTGCCTTCAGAAAACTCCGAAAAGGTTTCTTGTCATGCAAAATTAAGCTGATGTAATTCTTTTTCATTTATATGTGAAAACAAGTCAAAAACATTTTGATGAGTTATAGAACTCTAGATCTTTGGTGGAGAGATTACACATAGAGCTGTGATTATTGTTTGTGGAAAAAGTATGCCTCTAAATTTGCCTGGGGAAAAACAATAGAAGGATGTAAAATATTGGAAAAAATCATAATTAGAGTATGGATGAGTGTCTGTATATACACTTCTACTGTTTTTTGTGTGTCATGAAATAAGTCCTTTTCAGCTTTCTCATTTACATATTAAGATGTTTCTATCACAATTCACTTGATTTTTGGATTGTACATTAACAGTATACTTCTAATGAAAAGAAGTTAACAATAGAAGGATGTAAAATATTGGAAAAAATCATAATTAGAGTATGGATGAGTGTCTGTATATACACTTCTACTGTTTTTTGTGTGTCATGAAATAAGTCCTTTTCAGCTTTCTCATTTACATATTAAGATGTTTCTATCACAATTCACTTGATTTTTGGATTGTACATTAACAGTATACTTCTAATGAAAAGAAGTTAACA